CTCTCTAAAAAAAAAAAAAAAAAAAAAAAAAATTAAAAAGAGATAGGAAGTAGAGTTGATAGGTCTTGGTAATTATGAGCTGTTGAAATTGAAGTAAAAAATGCTTCCATCTTTCAGATGTCTGATCCCAACGTCTTTGTGGCTGGTGCCACCATTCACTAAAATGGGCAACACTGGAGAGGAAGGGAGTTGGGGGAGGAGGATGTGTTCAGTTTTAGAAGTAATGAGTTTGAGACATTTGTGAGATACATAGGTGCTCACAGGAAGAGTGCGCCAGAGATAGAATTGGGAAGTTGTCATTGTACAGACAGTATGATATAGTCTAGGAAGAAAGAATGAGAGGAAAGAGCTTTGGGGCAGCTCCTAAATTTAATGTATCTGTTAGTGGAGACTCAGAAGGAGCTGCTAAGAAAGAAGGCAAAACAGGAGAGTTTCATAAAAGTGGCATCTCAAAAGTCAAGGGAACACAGTGTTTCCAAGAATAAGTGCTCAGCTATGGCAAAATGCTGTTGCAAAGTGTTTATTGTATTTAGCAACATGAAGGCCAACAAGCCATGGAGCTGATGGAGTGATGGGCCCAGAAGCCAGCCCAGAATAGGAGATGAGATTTGGACTGTGCCTTGTTGCTAGAATATGGCACCTGGTTGTAGAAACCCTGATAAGTACCCACTGTGAAATTGCACTGCTTTGGGTGGACCTAAGAGCCAGGCTTCTCATTTGGCTACCTGAGAAAAACAACTTTCCTATAACAGCCATTTAAATGTGATCTGGATGCCTGCCTTTTCTAACAGCATTATTTATTTGAGGATTTATTTAGTGTTTTTTTTATTACAGGTGCTAAATTGGTACATTTTACCTCTCCCCATTTTTAGATTCACTGTTCAGGTTCAAGCCCTCCTTACCCAGCCTGGGTTATTACAATGCTCTCCAGACCAATGCTGTCCTGTAGAATTTTCTGTGATGGAAATTCCTGCAGTACAGTAGCCACTAGCCATTTGTTGTTTTTGAGCACCTGAAATATGGTGAGTGTGACTCAGGAACTGAATTTTTAATTGTTAATTAATTAAAATCTAAATAGCCACATGTGTCTGGTAGTTGGCATGTTGGGCAGTGCAGACTTAGTATTTTTGATAGGATGGGCTCTGAAAGGAAGAAGAGCAATAAAGTGATATCTAAAGAGGGATTCAGACATCTTATTGTAATACATTATAGTTTTGAAGGTCTTGTGTGTTTTGTGTAAAATTGTGAAATATACCCCATTATATTTCATTGCGAAAAATATTTTTTAACCCTAAATATAGAGTGGGTTTAGTTTCTACAGATCTTCCATTACTTTATGTTCAGTAAAAAGTTATGGATCCTTCATTAAAGTCTTGAAATAGCTAGTATGTCAGTGTTTTATTTTGGATTTTAATGCTAAATTTTTAATAGTTTCATTTTTCTTATGGCAGTTCTGTTGAGTTACAATGGAGTTAATTTTTGGAAGGCATTAACTATTTCTAAGGAGAAATGAAATTGAATAGGTCTTGGTTTCTATTTCTGTGCATGCTATGCTTATTATGTGCCAAAGTTTAAGTGCTTTATGTATATTACTATTGATCCTCACAAGGACTATGTGAGGTAGGTACTTTATTATCTTGATTTTACAGATCAAAAAACTTGGGTACAAAGAAACTAAATCCTTGCCCAGGACTACACAATAGTATGTGATAGAGTAGGGATTTGAACCCAGGCAGTTTTGAATCCAAGTATAGGTTCTTAATGATTATACTATACTACCTCCAGGCCATCACACTAATTGTTTCTATTTTACTTCCAGTTTTATATAGACCCATATAAGCTGCTACCACTGCAGAGGTTTTTACCTCGACCTCCAGGTGAGAAGGGACCTCCAAGAGGCGGTGGCAAGGGCGGTCGAGGAGGAGCCAGAGGAGGAATAGGTGGCAGAGGTGGCAGAGGCGGTAAGTTACTTGCAGGAGAAAATTTCTGATGAGATTTCAAAGTCGCAGCCAATTCATATAGTACAATTAGATTTTGTACATAGGCAAACCTCCCTAGTGTTTATTTTTTTATTAAAGCTAGCTTCAAATCTTGGCACTTTGCCATAGTAGTAATACTTAATTTTATTGACTTATTTAAAAAGAAAAAGCCTAATAAAGTATAATTTTGAGGGTTTCATTTAAGTTATTCATGTTTTATTGGGCATCTTATAAAGTATAAGATTATCATAACTGAATTTTAGTTTGAGTATTGATTATATACTGGGAGCTGCTCATGTATTCTCAATATCTATGTATATTCTTTTAATATTCAGCAAAATTTTACAAGATAGATGATATCCTTATTTTGTGGATGAGGAAATGGAGGCTTACTAATTTGCCCTAATTAAACAATTGGCAGCCCAGAAATAAAATCTGATGTCATGTCAAAGACCATTATCAGTAAATTAATTGCTTTGAGTTCAGTGTTAGTTAATTCTTCCTATCCATGAACATGGTATATACTTCCATTTATTTGTAACTTCTTCAGTTTCTTTCTTCAATGTCTTACAATTTTCCAAGTAAAAGTTTTTTACCTCCTTGGTTAAATATATTCCTAGGTATTTTTTTTAAAAGTGCAATTGTAAATGGGATTGTTTTCTTAATTTCTCTTCCTTATAGTTCATTATTGGTGTATAAAAATGCAGCTGATATGAGTTTTAATTTTGTATCCTGCTACTTTACTGAATTCATTTATCAGTTCTAATAGTTTTTTGGTGGACTCTTTAGGACTCTCTATAATGTCATCTGCAAATAATGACAGGTTTACTTTTTCCTTTCCCATTTGGATGCCTTTTGTTTCTTCTTATCTGTTGTGGCTAGGACTTCCTATAATTTCTCTTTTCTAATTCATCATTTTTTACAAGGCAAGCCCCCAAAATAAGTAAGAAAGACTGAAATAGGAAGCCGGTATGTGTTGGATAATAGAAAAAAGCTTTAAAAATTTTAAATTTCAGGGCTCATCGACATGAGAGTATCCTTGATGGTCCACAGGCAGCTCAGTTAACCTTAAAGGATGTGTTTATTGTAGCATGCTTAGATGAAAACCTTTGTTTTTAGGATGGAAAGCATTTGTTCAGTCAAAAAAGTATTTACCATGTCCAAAAGCTAAGATGCTTATACATTTAGCAATAGGGCAAAGTCAAACTTTACACTTGATCTTAGCCAAAAGGCCCAGAAGCGATGCAAAGTCAAACTTTAACAAGTTTTTCTAATTCATTAAAACAGAATATTTGTTTATAAAGTTGTAGTCTAGGGTTTTAGCCTGCTACTCATTTGAGAAACTTCTGCAGTTTTCCCATTTTTTTCTTTTAAAAAATTCTGCAGGATACATTTGTGAATCTATTTTTCTTTGTGATTGTAGGAATTGTCGTGATGTTTGTAGGCTTACCAGACTGTGATAGGCTGCTGTCATTTAATACTTCCTTTGTATTCAGGTGGTTTTAGAGGTGGAAGAGGAGGAGGCAGAGGTGGAGGCTTCAGAGGAGGAAGAGGAGGGGGCGGTGGTTTCCGAGGTAAGAGTGAAAAAATCTTTAAATGACCGAATCTCTAGGATTGTTATTATCTGTCTACCATTTCAAATTTTTTATTTAGTTTTCTGTTTGCCAGCAATTCTGTATAACACCGTGGTGTTTTTTGCTTTAGTCTAATTTATAGCTTTATTTTATATCATTCTTCCTTGCTTTTCCTTTTGAATTTTATCACCTACTTCTAATTTATTTTGCTGGTATTTTTTAATTGGAAATATAAAAAGGTGTAATATGAGTGACAGTTAAATTTTGTAAAGTAGGTTTGCTAAACATCACAAGGACTAATGGTGATTTTAAACTCGAGATTTGGGTAATGGTGCTTTTAAAAATGAATTTCTATACCTTTAATACTTTCCTTTTCTTTTAATCAGGGAGAGGACATTAAGTGTAACAGTTGACAGGAACTTCACCAGTTGATTTCTGCATTAACCTGATGGTCACTTCTATGGATCAGCAATGTGTTTCTTGAGCAAGTCTTGAAGAACTGGTTACTGTGTGACAGTGGCACTCAGATGTCAACGTCATACAAACATCAGTGCAACAGAAGAGGCACTTCTGTTCAAAAGAATATGAACAAGTGTTTTAATGTTTTGTATAATGTTTGGAACTGTGGTTGCTTATTAAATGGACAATTTTCACGTGAAGCATATTTGAATTTTTACAATAAAGTATTTTATTTAAGTTATTTACAGCTGTGCTTATTAAATCAGAACTATTTTTGAAGTTAAAATGAACAACTAAAGCTTAAACCCAGTAGTTTTCATGTAGAAAATGATTTGTTTACATTTATAATTGAGTTTTACAAACATAGGCTAGTGAAGCAATACTTTAACGTTATCTATAAACATACCCCTGCCAAAATATTTGCCTTGTATATACAAGAACATCAGCTCCTTTTACTGTATTTTCCTTTTGTGTGTTAGTAAAGCAGTTTCTCTAATTGTAATGCTTAATTGATTACAAAATTTTAGTATTGATTACAATTCTCTTAAAGTTGGAATAGCTCTGTTCAAAGTGAGAACTGAAGTTCAGGATGTTTTTGAAGAAACTAATTTTTCTCATTCAATATAGATTGAATGTTGAAAGTTTTACTGATTGTTCTTATTTTACTTTTTAAAGGGAACTAAAGGTTTAAGATGCTATTCACCATAAGCAGATACTCAAGTTCCTGCTACATGTTCAGATTCTGGGTAGAGACACTACAAAGGAAATTGGTTTTGGTCCCTATTGCCGTTGCAGTATAAGGAGGTATTCACGATAGCAAGTTAGAATACTGATATGGGACCATTTCCCCTGCCATTGATTTCCCCCCTCACTTGTTTTTTTTTCTCGGAATGATGTTGCCATATTTTTTCCTAAATTTTTTTATCCTTTTACTCATTTGAGTAGTATATAGTATTGCCTATGTCAGTCTTGTGGGTTTTACTCTTTTTTGATGGAATTGTAACAGGATTAGTAAATATGTAGGCCGTAAATATATATGATGAACAAATATGTTGAAAATTATGGTTTCACAGGAAGAAGCAATTGTGCTTTTACAGCATAGGAAAGGAGGCTTGTGATTTAGAATCTTTGGGTTGAAATTTTTAGGGAGAAGACCAGAGTTTCTATTCTTGGTTTATAAAGGACATGGTGAGCACTCATTAAAAGGGCCATGGCATTTTCCCAAGGACAAATAATAATGCAACATTTCCACACTTTTTTTAACATTTAAAAAAGTCCCTTAAAATGGCTGATGGAAGTAGTGTGTAGGTCAGTAGACAAACCACTTGGAGATTTCACCTTTTACTTGGGTATATCTTTTGGTTAGGCCATCTTTAACCTTTTATTTCCACGTTTTATTTTCCCCTTTTCCTTTAATGTGGTTCATCCTGGGTTTCCTCTGGGGCATTTAGTTTTGGATCAATTTCACATATTTAGGGAGCCTAACATTAATGAACATGGTACTGAGGTATCAGTTCCATTGTAAAAGATATTTTGATGATGATTCACATTAAATCTTTTTTGAGTCGACATTCTGATTGCATCATGTTAAAATGCATTTGTTGCCATAGCAATTAAGCAGTTTAATGGAATATAAGCAATATTTCCCCATATTCCTGAAAATTTGGGGGAGAGCTATGAAAGGCAGATTGGCTTTATGCAATTGAAGTTTATGAAATTAAAGAGTTAGCTATGTAAACATTTTGATATGAAATAATTATCTTTCTTAGTATCATGAGCCTCATCCCAATATAGCTTTCCTGTATCACTCATGAAGGAAGCATGAAAAAGTACTTTTGAATATATCTATCTATAGCAGATAGCTGGCCATCTTTGGAATTGTTTTTATGAACAGAAATAATTATTTCTGGGGAATTTGGATGCTACAGCTAAATATAATCCACAGAAGAGGAAGGGACTATGAACCAAAACATACTCAAAAATTTTTTTTTGTTTTCTTCTGTATACTGAACATAAAANTACTCAAAAATTTTTTTTTGTTTTCTTCTGTATACTGAACAAAAAAAAATGATTCAAAACCCAACACGGGTTTTTAAAGGGGGAGTTCCACTTAGGTATTTTATGTTCATTGCTTTGGGGTTATGTGAAAATATTTTGTTATTGGAATACTGTTGAAATTCACTTTACTGGTATTGATAGTCTGGAGTATTTACATTTATTGAAGATTGGAGCTCTGGTAGCTATAAGATCTGGGACAGGTCACCCAGCCTGGTTCAACTGCTTCAGTTTGTATACCGCTGAGAGAATTGAAGCAAAAAGATTCTCTTTGGTCCCTTGCTGTGCCATTCTAAGATTTATACAGTTAAGTTAAATGGGGAAATACAGCCCTCTAGTGGTTCTGTCATGCTTACACTTAACTTCGGTGCATCTAGCATTTCTCTAAAGTTACCGATTTTAAGAGAATCAAATTTTAATATTATATGGCATAAAAGAATGGGGGAAAAGGTGTTGGAAATATCTTAGTCTAAGAATAAATGTTCATGTTAGATTGTAACCCACTTATACAACATATTTTTTGAGTTATAACAAGATAGTCCAGAATATTAGAATTATCCTATACTTTACAAGATGAATGAATCCAGGTACTTGGCTGATATATACAGTGCTTATTATTATCAGGTAATTACTTGTGCATATTAAAATATAGGGTAAATTAACTGAGGTGGATTGTGAAGTAGATCATGCTATACCCATACTATGAAATATGTAGCTATTAATAAATCAGACTTAGATTTATAGACCTGGAATATATGATATAGCTTTAGGGGAAAACAAATTACAGAATGATTTTATATATACATAGCTCCCCATTTTTGCTTTTAAGAAAGTGGGGAAAACTCAAACCCTCGTATGAATATATTTGTGTGAGCAAAGAAAAGCAGAAAGGGTATAAACCAAACAATATTATTACCTTTAGGTCCATGAGATTTGGAAGGATGGGGAAGATTACTTCTTTATTTGTCTCTTAAATTCTTGTGGAAAAAAACAAAAGAAATTGAAATGGAAAAACTTTAAAGGGTCAACTGAAAACAAAGCCTGGCTCTTAATTTCAGAACTGATTTCCAGCAGAGAACAGTTAAGTCAGCTCCTGCACTGATTTTCTGAGTTTGTTTATTGTTTAAATGGGATATTTGCACTTGATAATCTCCTTAGATATGTAAGGATGATGCCCAGATTGGTTAAAATGTGTGGCTTGGTATTTCTCTTTATTTTGTTAATAAGCTTTTCACTTGCTGTGGGAATTAAAATCCTTTCCTCTTTAGCCCAATCACATTTGTTAAGGGAGGGCCTTTATGAAAAGGCTATTCTTTGAGGTCTTGAAGTGGAAGTGATTGGTTCTGAAAATTCTTTCCTCGGTGGCTTTATAACATAATTATTGAAGTCTTATTATGAAGGCTGTCTCAATACCTTCCCTCCAAAAATGCTAAGGAATAATTTAGGCAACCATTCAGACTCTGAAAATGGCTCGGTCTTTTCACAGACTGAACACAATATTGTTGCAACTTACTTGATTATGGCAGGTATGGATGTTTAATTACTCTATTAACGGTACTTTTGCTTTCAAGCTGGTGAAGAAAAGCAGAGGATTTCAGTGTAAGGCAGTAGGAAGAGCATGGGTTTCGAGATCATGTTCCAAGTTCCATAATGTTGGCCAACCTCCTGAAGTCAAGTATCTTTTCTGAGTGGGGGAGGGGCTCATGTAAATAAGGGTGGTGATTCTTGCTCTCTTTCCTGGCTGTAAAGATCAAATAGGAGAATGTAGGTGAAATTAATGGTGGTTAATGTCACAAGTTACTTTGAATCTTTTTTAAAAAGTGTATTGATTTTAGAGAGAGGAGGAGGGAGAGAAAGAAACATCGAGCTGTTGTTCCACTAATTTGTGCATTCATTGGTTGATTCTCGTGTGTGCCCTGAACGGGGATTGAACCCAAATCTTGGCGTAGCGGGCCGATGCTCTAACCAACTGAGCTACTGGGCTAGGGCTAATTTGAATCTTGATACATAATGCGAGAGCAACGAAGTGGGGCTGAGAAGAATTTTCTGTAAAATTATAATTCTTTGATAATCTATTTGGTCAAGTTTGTATTGGGGAAGACCGTGCACTGTGGCAAAAATGTATTTTTATGTCTTTTACTATTCTCATACATATTTTTTGTAGTTTTGTCCTTGGTGGTGGAATCTAGTTAAGATCGAAAGGTCCTGGAAAGAAACTTAAAGGCATAAAAAGAGAGAGCAGAGTGTACGGTCAGTCACTGAGGACGGAGTTTGAAAATTCAGCTCATTCCAGGGCGCTGTATTGACAAGGTCTCACCCTTTAGTGTCACCGCAGCAGTGAGCAACTTCTTTAACCTTTTGTTCTTTCGCTTTCTCATGTAGATAAGCGCAAGCTATTTGTCCTGCTGGGTGTGAAGGGTAAAATTTAATGACACATATGGTAGATGTTGGACAAATATTTGTTTCTTCCTCCCCACATGCACACACTCGTCAATGCACATATTGGATTAAGATAAAGACTTGTTTGTCAAAAAGAAGGGAAGGAGGAAATGACAATAGTTCTGGGCTTATCTTCTTTATGTGTAGGATGAATTATAGTATAAGTTTTATACTGAGCAGTCACCTTATTTCCAAGTATGCTCAGTAATGCATTTTAGAATAACTTACTTTTGGATCGATTTATAAATATTTTCCAATATATTCACAAGCAGAGTGAAAAGTAAAACAAAGCCTACTGTACCCAGTCTATTCTTTGTAATTCTTAGTTTCCCCACAATTCACAGTTAGAGATTACTTCTGTGCTAGAAATTGTGGTTCCTCAGTTAGTTTTTGTAAATTTTAGTGATATGCTAACTTACTCCTTTGAATACCTTTGTATGAGAAGTACTGGACAGGTTCTATTTTTGATTTTGTGTGTGTGTGGCAACCATACAAGAAAGCAATATGTTAAAGAGAAAATCTCCATATTAACTTTTGGTTTAGTTAGTTTTTTGTAGATGACCAATAAAAGCCATCATTTTTGATCTGGATACAAAAATAGTGTGCAAAAAAAATTTCATATTAAGAAAACTTTCCACGTGGCTGTAATCTCTGTAGCATTAAGAGCAGTAATCTTAGTACTATGACTCCGATGACTATATGACCAGCACCACCTCTACTACTGCTGCTGCTACTACTATCATTATTTGAATAGTTGGTGTATACCAAGCACTGCTCTAAATACTTACGTGTACAGAATAACTCACCCTTATGCTAACTCAGTAAGTGAATAAGTTTTATTTTCCTCATTTACACAGATGAAGAGTTTAGGTAACTTGCAACACGCACATCTACTAAGTGGTTAGATCAGGATTTGAACGCAGGCATTTTGGCTCTAGAGCCCTCACACTGCCGTGAATACGTGTTTGCTTGTGTTCTGGGTAGGTGAACTGGAGGGAGCATATCTAACCCCTTCGTGCTTTTGTTCAAACACCTATTATTCTTAAGCTCCTTTGATTTCCCACCTTTGACAGAACACTCACACTTCCCAATCAAACCCAAAACTATGAGGAACAGAATTCAGTCAAAACATCCATTTCATCTGTTACTTTTACTAAGAACCTATTTAGATTTTTCATTTTTAATTTCCTCTTTCTCGTAGATTTTAACTATACCAACTCGAGCAATCTCAGACAATAGCAGGGGGTTGCTCACCAGTTTCTCTTCAGGATGGTGAACACAACTCTCCTTCTGTTGCCGACCCTCCTTTAGCCCCGAGGAATCCAGGAATGCTTCTAGCATCTCTCAGATAAAATCTAACCACCCCACCCCCACCTTCAGCACCCTGTATGGCCCACATCAGGCTTATGGGAAACTTAGGCATTTCTCGTAGCATGTAGGGGGTGTCAGTCAGGCTAACACGCACATCTGGTCACTCAACAATATTTCTCTTTGTAAGTTAATACACTGGCATTCCGATGAAGAGTTTCAGTCATCTGTCTTACCCCAGTTCAGCCAATTCTGGGACACCAACAACATTGAGTTTCTGCACCTACAAGGCTAAGAGTCAGATCCGCAGCCAGAAACTTGGCAGGGATGACATCACCTGTGAGTCTTCCCAACGTACTTGAAAGCCAGCCCTACTCCTCTCGGCAGCCAGACCTTGCAGGGTGTGTGCTGGGTAAAGAGCTCAGATTGGACATGTTGAGTTCCAGCTAATATTGGAACAGACACAGGATCTTAACACACAGATACTTCATAAATGTTGAATGGCAGCTAGGTGAACAGAAAGGGATATAGATGCCCAGCCGGGCGTGGCTCAGCGGTTGAGCGTCGACCTAGGATCCAGGCGATCGGGGTTCGATTCCCGGTCAGGGCACATGCCCGGGTTGCGGGCTCCATCCCCATTTGGGAGCGTGCAGGAGGCAGCCGATCAATGACTCTCTCATCATTGATGTTTCTCTCTCTCCCTCTCCTTTCCTCTCACTGAAATCAATAAAGGTATATATTTTTTTAAAAAAAGGGATATGGAGCTGGAGCTTGGGTTGGGGCTGGAAAGTCACAGAAGAGCTTGTAGGATGATAGTATATGATAGCTGAGGCTTGAGAAGGGAAACTACAGAGAGAGTCTCAGACCTAAGGAAGGAAGGAGGAGGGGGAAGTTATGGTGCCAAAAAAAAAAGGCAGAGTCCTACATATACCCTAAAGATCAGCAGGGCTATCACGAAGGGCAAGGGAAGAATTTCAAGGACCGTGATTAATAGTGGTGACATGATAACCAGTCTTCAGCGCTGGTTTGTGCCATTGGCAGATTCTTCATGTTTTAATGTTCTTATTTCTATTCATTTTATTTTTTCCATCGCCGTTTATCTCCTCTATGCCCTCTCCCTTCTCCCCCAGCTCCCCTCCCGCCTCCCTTCCCACAATCACCACACTGTTGTCCACGTCCATGGTTCTTATTTCTGTTTTACAGAAGGACTGTGAAGATATGGAACTCGTTTTAAGAACAACTAGACCTCTTCAAATCAATGAATTAAAATGGATTTGCTATGTTTTGGAAGGGGCTTTTTAATTCTTTATATTTATTTATTTACAGCTAACATTTTGATTTATTTCCTTCCACTCTTTTCTGTGCAAAAATTTTAACATAGTGAACACCATGCTGTATATACATCACCTGTGCTTCCTTTTACATTTGATTTTGTCTCATAAGCATTTCCCTGTGATATAATGCTATGTAAAAATTATTGTAATCAGTATAAAATTCCATCACATGGCTGTTCTACAATTTATTTAACCTCTCCAGTCTTGAGCATTTAGTTTATTTCTTTGTTATAAATAGGGCTGTGATAAACATCCTTGTGAAAAAAACTTTGTCTTTTTCTCTTTGTTTTTTGGATTACAAAGTAATATATTTTTATTGTAAATTATCCAAACAGTACAGAAATGTATACCGTGTTTTTAAAACAGTGGGTTGGGCAATGTACTTGCGATATATTTGGAAGCAATATACTTGGAAGCAACTGGCATTTTGATGTTTTACACGAAAATACCAAAAATTACTGCATACTCTCCCCTGGATTTTTTAAATTTTTCAATCGTCAACCAAGGATATTTTTCCATTGCTTTTCAGAGAGAGCGGAAGGGAGGGAGAGAAAGAGGAGCATCAGTGTGAAGGAGACACATCGATTGGTTGCCTTCTGCACGCTCCCCCTCGCGGGCTGGGGATCGGGCCTGCGACCTGGGTACCTGCCTTTGGTCGAATCGATCCCCAGACCCTTCAGTCTGCAGGGCGACCCTCTAACCACCGAGCCAAAACGGCCAGGGCTCCCCTGGATTTTTTTTTCTTTCTTTTTAGTCACTTTTTGCAATGAACACGGACTAAAATTCACTCTTTTGGGTGTGTTCCACGAGTGTGGACAAATGCATAGTCATGTTACCAGCACCACAATCAGGTGACATTCTACCCCCTCCCCTCCCCCCACCAAATTCCCCCTTTCTTCTCTGTAGCCAACCTTTTCCCCACCCCAGGCCCCGGCAAGCACTCATCTGCTTTCTACTCCTTTGTTTCTCTCTGCCTTTTCCAGAATGTCATATAGATTGGGTCATCAGGCCAAGGACTAGAGTGAGGCATGTGATGTGCCTGTGGCACAAAATGTAAGGTGGTGCCCACCTCAGGTCTGAGCCCAGCCTCGCCTCGCCCTCCTCCTGGCCCCGGGAATCAGTGTGTGGGACACTTGAGCGGGGCTTCTTCACCGTGACAATGTGGACGTGATTGCAGTGATCACCTGACAAATCTAGTACCCATCTGACACCGTACATGGTTATTAACAATATTATGACTATATTCCCTGCGCTACGCTTTACATCCCCATGACTATTTTGCAACTGCCAATTTCTACTTCCTAATCCCTTCCCCCTTTTCACCCATCCCTCCAGCCCTCTTCCACCTGGCAGCCGTCAAAATGTTCTCAGTATCTATGAACTTGTTTCTGTTTTGTTTGTTCATTTATTTTGATTGTTAGATTCCACACATAGGTGAAATCAAGGCATTTGTCCTCTGACTGACTTGATTTCACTCAGCACAGTGCACTGTAGGTCCACCCATGTTGCTGCAGATGGCAAGACTTCATTTTTTTTATGGCTGATTCAAATTCCATTGTATCTATGCACCACTTTATCCACTCACCTACTGATGGACCTTTAGGCTGCTTCTGTAAATTGGCTGTTGTAAATAATGCTGCAATGAACATATGTATACATAAAAGGAGCTTAAATATTTAATTTTGACACTAGTTTTAAACCTTTAAAATAAACATAGTATATAATATTTTTGTGTATGTTCTCAGGTATGATAAGTATCCTCAGCAACGTAATAGTTCTGGGTATCTTCATTAAGTACAAGGAACTTCGGACACCCACAAATGCAATTATCATTAACCTGGCTGTTACCGATATAGGGGTCAGTAGCATTGGCTATCCCATGTCTGCTGCTTCAGATCTGCATGGAAGTTGGAAATTTGGACATGCAGGATGTCAGGTATTGGAGGTCTTTGGAATGAAAGCTAAATAAAGTACATTAAAGAGATACAAATTTAAATGTCAAAAAAAAAATCCCAAGGGTTTCAATAAAATAAGATTATATAAGATAATAGGTATAGTGCTTTCATTGAAAATAGTTTCAGGAGTGACTGGGACATATATTCTTTAATAAGAGACATGACATTACTAGTCATCACTATTTTTTAAAAATTTCCCCAACCCAAAGGAAAAAACAAACTAACAAAAAATTAATGTTCAACTAGAGAAGAAAAGCAAAAACTTACATATTCAAATGAAAGTTTGCATATTGCAAGTTCAAAAACAAATACCCTGCTTTCATTTGAAACAGCAAATATTAATGATATATCATCATATCTAAGTAACATAGTTAAGCCACCCACATTATTGATTTTTTTAAATATAGAAAGTCTTCCGTGAGAATTGCTGTTAAACACATCAGCATTGTTTTTACTGACAAGAAGATAAATTAATACTAATTTGTGTTAAGATAGTAGGCAAATAAAGACTATTGGTTTGATTTTTAAACTGTTTATTATTTTAAGCTATAAAATCATAAAGAGTAAAATGAGACTAATAGAGAATGATAAATACCCATGTATAGACCAATCAGTTTTGTCAAATCTTAATGTTTTTCAATATGTGCTTCAGGTTGTTTTTATTTTTAAAGATAAAAAATTTTTATAAATACGGTTGAAGGTCATTGCACACTATCCCAATCTTATTTCATTCTCGCCCATGAATGTTTTTCTATCTTATTACATATTTATGTGTACATAAACTAAATACTGCCTGAATGTTTTAAATTTTGTATAAACAATATATTGTTTGCATTATGCAACTTTCATTATTCAATATTTTTGAGGGTTAGCCGTGTTGATGTAAGTAGCTGTAACTCACTCATTTTATGAACATAACCCAACACACTCATTTTTCTGTTATTGAGCATTTATTCCCAATTCTTTTCTGTCGTCAAAAAGGCTTCAGTGAATGTTCTTATACGTGTGTCCTACAATACATGAGAGTTTCTTTAGACACATTGCTTAGGAGAGTTTGGTTGGGTTGTAGAGAATGTTCATCTTCAACTTTATCAGATGTGGCCAAGTTGCTCTCCAAAATGGTTGTGCCACTTGCAAGAACTTCTGCTACTACACATTCTCCCCAATGCTTGGGATTGTCAGACTTTTTAATTTGTATCATTTTGATGGGTGCAAAATGGTGTCTATAATTTTTTCACTTCTTTGAATACATAATGTGGCATACATCTTTTTTTATGTCACAGACATTGAGGTTTCCTCTTGCATGATTAGCCTATTTTTCTGTTTGTCTTTTCCCCTTATTGAATTGTCTACTTCTAAATACTAATCTTTTGTTGGTTATATGCACTGTATCTAATTTATGGTTTGCTTTGCATCCTGTCTATAAAGTATGTTGTACAGATGTTTTACTTCAAGTCTTAACATTTAAAAAAAGTTTAGTTTAATTAATGAAGTCTCAAAACACTTTCCTTAAATTTGCTTATTAAACCAGTTACAATTGGACAATGGAAGATGTATTTTCAAATCAGCACAATAAAAAGCATTTAATGCATTTAAAATAATTCTAGCAATGGGATAAAAATGTAAATGTCTCTTGGAAGGTGTGTAGAATGGTGGATTCTTTGCAATTTTGATTTTCAGATTTATGCTGGATTGAATATCTTTTTTGGAATGGCAAGCATTGGATTACTCACAGTCGTGGCCGTGGATCGATACCTGACAGTTTGCCCCGCTGACGCAGGTACAGCACTTTTCTCAGTGAATCTGTGTCTTGCCTAAGTACCACTTGACACACATTCACTTTAAAATATAAGTGTAATGGGCTGTGATCGTGGTTAGCTTTATTTCTCTGACAATCCTTGTTCAAAAATTTAAATGATTTCCTATTACACTTAGAATAAAATCCAAATTTCATGATCGCCTTCCAAGGCCCTGCTACCTTGCTAGCTTTGGCTAGGGCCCTCTCACTTTGGGGTCCTAGCCACCCCCTCTCACTTTGGGGTCTTTGTAGATGCTGCTCCCTTAGGCCTGGAAAGTGCTTCTCTCTGCTCATCCTCTGGGTGATCCTTTCACCCACGTGGATAGGCGTCGAGCGAGCTAAAGTGCGCTGTAAACGATCTACTTGATAACAGCTTTGCATCATCAGTTAAAGCACAGTGAGGATGTGAAATCCATTATTGGCCAATGACGCTAATATTTCATATGTTTGTTCATAGGAAGAATGACCACCCACACTTACGTCGGCATGATTCTGGGGGCCTGGATCAATGGCNAAAGTTTGCATATTGCAAGTTCAAAAACAAATACCCTGCTTTCATTTGAAGAATGACCACCCACACTTACGTCGGCATGATTCTAGGGGCCTGGACCAATGGGCTCTTTTGGGCTTTGATGCCTATCATCGGGTGGGCCAGTTATGCCCCAGATCCCACTGGGGCCACCTGTACCATAAACTGGCGGGAAAATGATCTGTAAGAGACACTTTTACACTTTCTAATCAAATGTTTCTAATGTAGACATTTCCTCCCCATTTCTAATTTAAGCTCAGATCAAATGTTTTTTGTACAGAGTGGCGAAGGGCGTCCTTGGTAGTGGTGATGTGATTCCAGCTTTGAATTATGCTTGTTTGCAAGTAAAGGCCACCCAGCTCCCCCTGGCCCCCTCACCCTGTCCCTTCTTTCCTCTCCTCTGGCTCAAAGGGGATACAGAGCACCCTTCTGATATATGCACCTCAGGGGGAGAGCCTGAGAGGGGTAAGGGAGCGTTCGTGTCACTAGACAGCGTGTGGCTCTGGCAAAAGCCGAGGCCGACTCCTTCCTACCTTTTCAAAATGACCTGGTGAAAAAGCGTCTTCAGAGAATCACGCAGCCAAAGCACCATCGCTGCAAGTATTTGCTTGGTAGTTGGTGAAGCTCTTCTCTGTTTGCCAGGGAAAAGAGGATAATCTAGTTTGTTAAAGAAAGTGAGAGATTACTCAGAAAGACAAATAGAAAATTTCTAACTCCCAATCGAAATCGAAATCTAAACTTTTTCTGTAAATGGTTGACAAGTAAATATTCTGAGTCTTTACAGGCAAAATGGTCTCTGTTACAACCATTCAACTCTGCCTGTGAAGTAGCCATAGACAATATCTAAATAAATGTGGTTCCAACAAAACTTTATTCACAAGATAGAAGACAGGCTGGATTTGGCCCATAAGCCATAGTTTGTCAATCCCTAGTCTAAACGGCCTAAAAGTCAAATATACTTCCTAAGTCATTTAGTACTATAATGACTGCTGGACGGTGCTAGTATTATTTCTAATAATTATTCTGTTTCCCTTCTCCTATTTAGTACATTAAACAAGTGGTGATTTAATGATTCCCTTTTCTTATTTTCAGATCTTTTGTTTCTTTCACGATGACAGTTATTGCAATAAATTTTATTGTGCCTTTGACCGTGATGTTTTATTGCTATTACCATGTCACTCGATCCATTAAATGTCACACTACTAGTAAATGCACTGAGTACCTCAACAGAGATTGGTCAGATCAGGTAGATGTAACAAAGGTAAGACATTAAAATCCTTAAAATGTTTTTGTAATCAAGCTTTTATTTATTTAATTAATTTATTTAATCTTTTTAAAAAATTTATCTTTATTGTTGAAAGTATTACAAATGCCCCTCTTTTTCCCCCATTGATCCCCTCTACCCTGCATCCACCCCACCCCCAGCCTTCCCCATACCAATGTCTGTGTCCATAGGTTATGCTTATAAGCACATAAATTCTTTGATTAATCTCTCCCCACTTACTCCCCCACCCCGCCTTCCCTCTGAGATCTTTCAGTCTGTTCCATGCTTCTATGTCTCTGGATCCATTTTGTACATCAGTTTATTTTGTTCATTATATTCCACATATAAGTGAGATCATGTGGTACTTGTCTTTCTCTGACTGGCTTATTTCACTTAGCATAATACTCTCCAGTTCCCTCCATGCTGTCTCAAAGGGTAAGAGATCCTTCTTCTTTACAGCTGCATAGTACTCCATGGTGTGAATGTCCTACAGCTTTTTTATCCACTCATCTGCTGATGGGCACTTGGGCTGTTTCCAGATCTTAGCTATTGTAAATTTTACTGCTATGAACATAGGGGTGCATATATTCTTTCTGATTAATGTTTCAGGTTTCTTAAGATATGTTCCTAGAAGTGGGATCACTGGGCCAAATGGCAGTTCAATTTTTAATTTTTTGAGGAAACTCCATACTGCTTTCTATAGTGGCTGCACGTGTCCGAATTCCCACCAGCGGTGTACTTTCTCCACACCCTCGCCAGTACCTGTCATTCATTGACTTGTTGACAGTAGCCATTCTTACAGGTGTGAAGTGATACCTCATTGTGGTTTTAATTTGCATCTTTCTGATGATTAGTGACTGAGCATTTTTTATATGTCTCTTGACCATCTGTGTGTCCACTTTGGAGAAGTGTCTATTTAGGTCCTTTGCCCATTTTTTAATTGGATTGTTTGTCTTCCTTTTGTTAAGTTGTATGAGTTCCTTATAGATTTTGGATATTAACCCTTTATCAGATGTGTCATTGGCAAATATGTTTTCCCATACAGTGGGCTCCCTTTTGGTTTTGTTGATGGTTTCTTTTGCTGTGCAGAAGCTTTTTATTTTGATGTAGTCCCATTTATTTATTTTCTGCTTTGTTTTTCTTGCCCTAGGAGATGTATTGGCAAACATATTGCTACAAGAGATGTCTGAGATTTTGCTGCCTATGTTTTCTTCTAGGATTTTTATTGTTTTGCGTCTTACATTTAAGTCTTTTATCCATTTTGAGTTTATTCTTGTGTATGAAGTAAGTTGGTGGTCTAGTTTCATTTTTTTGCATGTATCTGTTCAATTTTCCCATCACCATTTATTGAAGAGGTTCTCTTTACTCCATTGTATATTCTTGTCAAATATTAATTGACCATAATGGCATGGGTCGATTTCTGGGTTCTCTGTTCTGTTCCACTGACCTATATGTCTGTTCTTGTGCCAGTACCAGGCTGTTTTGAGTACAGTGGCTTTGTAGTATAACTTGATACCTGGTATTGTGATCCCTCGAACTTTATTCTTCCTTCTCAAGATTGCCGTGGCTATTTGGGGTCTTTTTGGTTCCATATAAATTTTTGAAGTGTTTGTTCTAGATCTGTGAAATATACAGATGGTATCTTTAATAGCAATTGCATTGAATTTATAGATTGCTTTGGGTAGTATGGACATTTTAATGATGTTGATTCTTCCAATCCATGAACACGGTATATTCTTCCACTTGTTTATATCTTCCTGTGTTTCTTTTTTCAATGTCCTGTAGTTTTCTGAGTATAGGTCTTTTACCTCCCTGGTTAAATTCATTCCTAAGTATCTTAATTTTTTTGTTGCAATGGTAAATGGAATTTTTTTTTTAGTTTCTCTTTCTGAGAGTACATTATTGGTGTATAAAAATGCCATCAATTTCTGGGTGTTAATTTTATATCCTGCTACTTTGCCGAATTCATTTATGTAATCAAGCTTTTACACATATGTAGTCCCATGTCCTCTGCAGTCACCCCTCCCCACCCTCTCAATTCTTACTCTCTGGCTCTTTTGTCTGGTGTTTGCCTCCACATTTCTAAACAATGTGCTTATTTGCTGTTTTGGATATTTTTGTTTGCCATCACCTCTTGATTTACTACTATGGACAATGATAATTCTTTTCTCTTATACCACCAACCTTTTTATTCTTCCCCACCAACCTTTTTCTCTCCTCATCTTGTTTGGTTAGATGAAGAGTCAATTTTACATTATTGTGATTATCTAAATTTTATTTATTGTAGATCTCTGTAGGGGTCAATGATTTGTATTTCATTTAAAATAATTTTTTATTTTTCAATTACAGTTGATGTATGTTAGTTTCAAGTGCTCAACCCAGTTGATTGGACATTTATGTAATTAAGAACTGATCACCTTGATTTATTTTTTATAAAACTTTTTCCCCGTGGAGTTAATAATTTGTTTATTTTTTCTTTCTTTCTTTTCCTCTCTCCTTCTTTCTCCCCCTTTCTTCCACCCCTCCTTCCATCTCTCTCTCTCTTTGTAGTTCTGTGTACTTGTCACTAATTCATCTCTAATCTCTTCACCAGCAGCATCGATTTCTGCTCAGTATTTCTAAGTGCATCAGAGACTATCTCCTTTTCTTGGAACTTTGCTTCCTGGTCCTCCTGGGCCTGTTGCTCTGCTCTACACAAGCTGTTGTCTAAAACCACAGTCCAGAAAGGTGACATCCTCAGATCTCCTTCATCACCAGATGGGAGTGCCTCTGGCCTCTCTCTTGGTTGGATCTCTTGTTTTCTGGGTGGCATATCTTCTTTTTTCTTGGTCACTCCTTCTCATTTGGTGAAGCACATCAAGAAGATTCCTGAAAAAGTTATCAGGAGGTAAATTTTTAAAGATTTTGCATGCCTGAAAATGTCTTAAAATTCTACTATCATATTGGACTGATTGTTTGCCTGGTATAGAATTCTAAGTAGAAAAATGATTTTCAGAGAATTCTGAAGGCATGCTGTACAGGCTCCTAGCTTCTGGTGTTGCTATTGAGAAGGCTGATAGCATTCTGGTGACTGAGCCTTTGTAGCAACCTGTGTGTTACTTCTGGAAGCTGGTGGGGATGTCTCTGCGTCTCTTTTCTGGAATTTCATACTGATGTGCCTGGTGTCACTGTTTATTCACCCACGTGCTGGTGTGTGGCAGGAGCTTGCAATGTGAAGACCCAGGTCCTCCATTTGGGAGAGTTCTTGTTTTATTTTTCTGCTGACCTCCCACCCTGCTTTGTTTTCTCTGTTCTCTTTTCCTGGAACTCCTTTTATTTGGATATTTAATCTCCTGCATTTATCTTCTAATTTTTAAAAAATTTTCTCTCCTATGTTATCCCTATTTAGGGTTTGTTTGCTTGCTTGTTTTTGTTTGTTTGTTTGGTTTTTTCTACTTTCTAAGAAATTTCCTCAACCTTGTCCAAGTCTGAGGTTGGGTGAGGAGAGTGAGGCTCAAGCCTTGGGTGCAAAACTTAAATGGGCACCAAAAAACTCAGTAATAAAAAAAGAAGTTAATGCAGTATTTTTTTTAAAAATCAAAATTAATGCAAAAACTCATACTGGACATAATATAAGATATTAAATAAAGACAAGATTTGATCCTGCACTTGCACGACTCACCTCATTTACCCTGCCCTTTCTATTGCATTTAAAAATTCTACTCTCTCTTTTATAAATCAGGTAAAAACCGTTGTTATAGATAAAAATTAATTTATGCTTTTCATGCCTCTTTAATAGCCTCCCTTTCTTGTTTTATATCTTCTCTCACTTCTGTGATGTTATTTTGTATGTATTTCCATTTTCCTTCTGTTCATCACATTTTTTGTTTTTCCTGAGTTTCTGAACTGTTTTGGTCTCTGGCTGTCAGTGTCTGCTGGTCAGTGACTGTCCTTGCATATCGAGAGTGATGCACTAGAAAGCTGACTGTAAGCTCTGGGTGGGCTCGTTGGTTGGGATGTTTCTTTGGGGGCCTTTCTGACAATCTCTATCTCTAGATATTTTCTTCTGGGCTGGTCAGTTTCCAAGGAGTAGATTCTTTCACGTTCATGTGGGGGGTGGGGGGTGGCATATAAGTCTGTCACCTGTATGCTTATGGCTCAGAACACGGAGGGGACAGCATGTAGCCCCCCTCTTTTCCATCCAGCACTCCAGCTCTCAGCTGAGACGAGTGTCCCCTGGTCCCAAATTTCCCTGCTTTCTCCCTCTTATATTGACCTTCTGGGTGCTTCTGGGGAAAAGACAGGGCAGCGGCCTGGCTGAACGCGGAGGGAATTCAGAAGTCCAACTGCTTCTTTTGCAGATTTCAGTGATTTCTGTTTTGCCTTCCGTGGGCTGCCCCACATTCAGAGCTGGCTGCCACGCTCCTGCTGAGGCTTTCTGCGTTCTGTGCAGTGGGTTGCTCTGCGTATGCCAGGGGTCCACAGCGCAGCTACTAGAAATGGGGTAGGAGTGGGTACAAATCTGCTTTTCATCTAAGGCGGCTTTGGTACTCCTCCCTAGCCCACCAAAAGAATGGAGGATTCTTTACGTTGGTGTCACATTCTATCCGTTTCACAAGCTCTTGCCATCATAGGTGACTTCTTTTTTTTTGCACATGAGTAAGGAACAATGAGGGGGGGAAATGCAGTTTTTCTTTTATGTCATCAACAACATAAACTTATTCAAATTCCAATCTAGATAAGTTTTATGCTATTTTAGATATATTAGCTGTTTAGATATTGGGTTTGGCAAATGTTGATTTCTTTGACAGATGTCTGTGATAATGATATTCATGTTCCTGGTGGCGTGGTCCCCGTATTCGATCGTGTGCCTCTGGGCTTCTTTTGGTGACCCAAAGAAGATTCCTCCCTCAATGGCCATCATCGCTCCACTGTTTGCAAAATCTTCTACATTCTACAACCCCTGTATTTACGTGGTTGCTCATAAAAAGTAAGTAATGTCTAAAATACTTCTGAACAAAATAATGGATACAGAAAGAATGTTAAAAAAGGCAACAAGTAATCTAAGACTTCTGGGGTGGTGAGTGACAGAAACTCACTTTGAACTAGTGTAAGAGTTATTTGACTCATGCACTTGGAGAACCTACAATACCTAGAGCTCCAGTTCTGTGACAGGTTCTTCCCATATGGGGGAAAGATGGTCACAAGCGACCCCAAACCCACATTCTACCAGCTAAGCAGCCCCGAATTCGAGTTCCATCTCAGAGGGCTCTCTGGCAGAAAAGCTGCTGGAAGGTTGCTGGCAGGCTCAGCTTAGTTCTCATGGTTACCCCACCCCAAAATACATGCAATTGGTATTTCAAAGAAAAGAGTGGTTCTGTTACCAGAAAATGAACAGGGAAAGGCAATGTTGGGCTCCTTAACTGGGGAGCATAGTTGTATATTTACTAGAAAGAAAACATGCCATTCAGATGCAAGAGGAAAATCCAGTGCTAACATGAAGGGCTTCAGGAGAGGGTAGTCATTCAGGGTAAGAGAGAAAGATTCCTGCCTCCTTTGTTAAGACTCTTGGTAAGGATTTCATTCCTGCCTCCTCAGGAAGCTTAGATTATTTCATTTTCTGTTGCTGCCAAAAGATGGAATGAACCCATCTACTGTGCTTAGATATTTGACCATAAAAATCTTAGTAGAGGTCAAGTAATTTGATCTTCGAATGCCAATGCTGATTCTATTAAACCTATATTTGGGAGAGCAGCTTTACTTACAGGCATGTGAAAAAACATAAAAACTTTAAGACCAAACAGACGACAGAAGAAAAATAAAAGAACACATTTTAAATTCAGAGTATATTGATAGTTCTTTTGGATAGGTAGGTCATTCTCAGACTCCCCTAATTTCAAAAGGCCTTTGCTCAGAACAGATGCATGAAATTCATATCCTTAAAGAAATAAATTATCACAATTGACATTAGAAGCATCATTTAAACACATAATTATTGATTTTTACTAAATGTTTTTAGTGTTTACAATCAATGGCACAAATTGTTCTTCAACTGTACCATATACTTTCTACATTTATAAAGGTTCTCAGTAACAGATGTTAAAATTGGAGGCAAACATTTATCTGGAAATGTCTGTTGGCAGTAGTGGCATATTAGTTATATTTGAAAGTGTTTTAAAATTCCAAGTCATTACAGAATAATGCCAGATCTCCCCTTTTTCATTGCAGGTTTCGGAGGGCGATATTTTCCATGTTCAAATGTCAGACTCATCAAACTATGCCCCTGAGGAATTTTTTACCAATGGATGTACCTCAAAACCCATTGACTTCTGGAAGCATCTGAAATAAGAGGAAAGCACCAATTATCAAAACATTTTACTTACTTAAAAAAAAAAAAATTATTTAAAATTTGAGCCCATTTAAATCAAATGCAGACATAGATTATTATTCTAAAAGAATGAATTCCTCAAGTGTAGTTTATAGTTCTTCTGTTTGTGCATTGGCTACTGTAGGGAATGTCTCTTTATTTCCTTATATGTAAACTTATTGCTCATCTCCTTTGATGAATCCAGGTACGTGAGATTCAGGCCTCTTCTCTTTCTCCCTGTCATGACATGCATGACACTGTGCGGGTGACCTGGTATCTTGCCTGGGCCTTCCATTAGACCAGAAGTAGCTGCTACGTTAATGTTAGAATAAAATAATAATAATAATAATAATAATAATGATAGTCAATGAACTTTAATAAATAATTTCTGAAATGAGTTGTTGGGTGTTCCCAGCTAGAGTGAAAAATGTTTTTAGCATTTCACAATTTAAAAATCTTAATGCAATTATTAACATACTTTTTAACAAAAATGACTATTGAATCCTACTGTTTCTAGATTACATGTCAGTCAATGCATATATATATTTTATATAGCAATATAATCTCTGCATATTATTATATAGTCTGCTTTTTATTACCATTTTCTATATATGCATTTCTATATATTTGCCACTAGAATTAAGTTTAATCAGAGTGGGGGTTTTTGTATGTTGTTCTTTTTTTCCTATCTTTTGTTTGTTTGAAATTTATTTTATTATGGTAAGAACATAACATGAGATTTACTACCTTCTTAACAAATTTTTAAGTGTACAATACTGTATCGGTAACTGTAAGTACAATATTGCACAGCAGATCTCTAGAACTTATTCATCTTGCTTAACTGAAACGTCATGCCTGTTGATTAGCTGTATGTTTGCTCTTTGATGTATCCTTAGTGCATAGACTGGTTTTGCTTGGTACGTAGTAGGCACTCAATAAATATTTGTTGAATGTTGAATAAATCTGTAGTAACATATTTGTCACTTTAAATAATTACTAAGCATAGCATAATAATACATCATTGTTTAAATAGTGGGCATTTAAAATCTGTAGTATTTTATTTTAATTGAGCAAGTTCTTCTGACTTTATTGTTTCTATATGCATCCTATTAGTTTTAAATAATATTTCCCATAGTATTCTCACTTTTATAAAATTGATTCTTTTAAGAGAGTTTTGTAGTCATCGGGGTGTAAAGTACAGCATAGGGAACATAGTCCATAATAGTCCAATAACTATGTATGTTGTCAGATGGGTATGAGATTTTTTGGGACGATCACTTAAGTTTTATAATGTCTAATCACTGAGGTGTACACCTGGAACTAATATAATATTGTTTGTCAACTGTAACTGAAAAATAAAAAAATGATTTTAAAAAAGAGTTTTTGGTTTAAAGATGGTGGCTAGAACCACCTAAGAGAAAGATTAAATGCCATACATATTTGGCATTTATGTATGCTAACTTTGCTAAGAGACAGGACAGTTAATTTTTAGCTATGGTTTGATGCCCATAACTTGGGAAATTAGCTTGGAATAAAATATATTTTTGAACAGAGATAATAGCTTTTGGTAGAAATAAGAGCTGGGAGGCCTTGCACTGTGCTGAGATGACCTGCAAGAGCCACAGGACACACTCACCGGAGCCTCAGGCCCACTTTAGTGGTGGACTGAAACAATTGGTCTAAAAAAAAAAAATCTAGGTGCTGGATTTGCCTACTTTGCTTTTGGAGATAGCCAATACGTGGCAATATTGATAATTCTATTCTAAATCAACTTTATATCATGTGCTTATCTTTAAAGCTAAATGTTGTAAAACTGATAGTTATGCATGCTGGTAAAAAGCAAATGCACAAAATAAAATTTATAATGTTATAACATAAGTAATCTGCCATATTTTTTAGTATCTCCTAAGACACTGAATTATTTTTGACATTACGTGTAGCCTCAAGGTATGGTAGCAATTACATCCATAGGAAGGGAATTTAATAGGCATTTCTTTAGAAATCTGGAAATGGGCAACGATTGAAATGTTCTTGACACGTGTTTGAGTTTCATTTTCCTTAGAATGTGTTACTTTGCTGAAGTCATATTCAAAGGCTAGGAAGATTGAACCCCCGCAAGATAACACTTGAAGGTTAAGTAACTACAGATCTCAGCTAATCCTGTGTAATCTGTTCTCCCTAAATGGCTGTTTGCGCTCCAGGCACACCAGTCTCTGAATGCTTAGGATCTGGTTTCTACCTTTTTTTCATATAACCTCTAGAAGGAGCAATGCATCTCTTAGCATGTCTGGGCGTTGTGCTTAGCTTTTTGGAAGGAGTGAGCTGTTCGTGCCCTTCACGGTGCACCTGCGATTATCACGGCAGAAACGACGGCACGGGCTCAAGGTAGGCTCCTCTCCTGGCTACTAAGTTTTCTAATGATTCTGAGAAAAAGGGATCCACCATCCGCCTTCTTTTGAAAGCAAACTGTTGATCAGAAGTCAGAGGAGAGAAGGTTGAATTTACAAAAGCTTTAATGTAATTGTGTTGATACTGGTTGCTAACTCCATTGTTTTTACCTCAAGCAGTTTAGCTCTTAAAAGCCCCTTGAATTATTTGAGACACCCAAACACATTCTGTGTTACAAAAATATTCATTGCACTTGTGTTCAGAAAACGTTCATTTCAGGAGGACAAGCTGAAATGTGTGCGGCCAGCTCGGCCTGATTGTGGGAAGCAGGGCCCAGCAGGATGCTGGGCATGCCCGGGTCATTTGCTTTCTGAGTTTTCTCTTTCATTTGAGGATTACTCACGCCAGCTGGACAGACCTTAGAAAGTAGACAGGAAGGCCACAGAGTGAGATTACAGACGTTCATCCTTAGAATTTTTCATTTTGGGATATTGGAGAAAAGAAAGGGGTTTGGAAGATACAGATCAACTCTGTCAGCGGCAGACACTGGAGGGCCTGGAGAAGCTCTTTAACCTCTGGGCTGCTCTGGCATCTTCCTGTGAAGCGAAAGAAATGACATACTCATAACATACATGAGTCCTTCGAGATAGAAGTTAAATGCAAAAAGGAACCCTTATTAGCTAAACAGGATAGGCCGTGATTTTTTTTTTTTTGAGAGGATGTTTAATGACAAAACCAGATTTTTGTGTGTGACTTGGTTGATGGTCTTATAACTTTAGAGGTTATTTTGAACAGTGTGCCTCCTAAAGTAATTTGTTAAAAGAGTCGCTCAATTTATGTTCTACAGCTTTAAACTAATTAGTAGAAATTAAAACATATTATTGAGTCATTTGTCTTTTTATTCTATAAACTGAACTTCATCAACTCTTTGGTATATTTTTGAGGGACTCAGTGGTGGTTTAGGACAATGTAATAAATTAAAGGCTTACTTGGCAAAAGCTATGCAGCAGTTAATGACTCAGGCCAGGGTACTCAAGAAATAATCACAGAAATGTTTTCTTCTCCCTGGTGGCCCATTATGGATGGATTTTCTGAAAGCCATAGTGTACTATTCTTGGCAAGAGCTCTAGAAATAATCTAGCTCTACTGCTGTTATTTTATAAATGAAGAATTGAACCCATACAGAAGCTAAATGACTTGTGCATGGTCATAACACTCAGTTGATAGTGACTGCTTAGTAAAAAGACACTGGGTCTTTCAGCTTCCAGTCCAGGCTTTTTTCCATTACACTGGAATGCTACCTTAATGAGTAGAAACTGGATCATTCTGGTCTAAAGTAGCACTGAAATTTGTGATAGAGAATAGAGGTGAAGAGTAGGAGGTGTCCCTAGAGGATTCTGGTGCTTCCTATGGCTTCCCCCTGAAGCCACAGACAGGAGAGGCTGGCAGTGCATCACAGCTCTGTGCGGCTTGTACAGCTCTGTACGTTATAGGCTGCCTTGAAAGCTACCTGACTTAATGTGATATGTTTCACCGAATGGCTGTTTTGTCATTTCTGTTTACTGCATGGATAACGTATTAAAATTTAGATCATGCTTTGCAAAACATTTCATTGTTCATTTTCAGCAATCCAGTGGGAATGATTACACAATGGGAGAGAAATAGATCTTTCTCCAAGTTAAAATGCATCTAAATTCTCTGACTCTTCATACTTTGCACTCACACATGGGACAGGCTTATTTTTCTATGCCTGTTTTACACGTGCCACTAAGCAAGATCACAATGTGACCTGTTCAAGGTCACATAATTTAGTGAGCGGTGAATGAAATAAACTCGCAGTTTCTGGTTTAGTCCTTGGGCTGGAAGCAGTGCACAAGTCACATTGTTAANCTTCCTCCTGGAACCATGGAATTTTCCTGGGTAAATGCATAGATATAGTCAAGGTAGAAGGAAACAAGCTAAGATACAAGCATTCTTTCAAGCCTCTTTCCCTACATTTGCTGACATCCTATGGCTGCAGGCAAAGTTAAAGGGTGGTGAAGTTTCTCCAATTCTTGTTGGGAGGTGACAGCAAAGTTACATGGCAAAGAATGCAGATACAAGGATGGGGAAATGATGCATGCTACCATAGGAACGTGAGACAGAGGGAAATTCTAGGCTTTCCAGTCTCTTTGTTTCAAATAAACATCATAGTTCAGAGTTCAACTCAGAGCATCAATACGGAATCCCAAGGTTAGTCTTAGCAGCTTCGCAGATGTAGAAGGAGAACATTCACCTCTCAAATATCTATCTATGAAATGTATGTGTTTCTTATCATGGGCCAAATGCAACTCAGAATCATTGAAATATTTGTTTTTGTATGGAAAAAGAATTTCCAAATAGAAACCTTCCTTCCTTCCTCCCTTCCTTCCTTCCTTCCTTCCTTCCTTCCTTCCTTCCTTCAAGGGATCAATTTATAGCTTCAACAGGGGATTCTTTAAAAACGGGCCATTTTGTAAAGAGGTTAAGTGTGCCCTTTGGAGATGGACAGAGTGGCTTTGCAAGGTGGTTGTGTAACCCACTAGCTACGTGATCTTGGGAAGTTACCTAATGTTGGCAGGCCTCAGTTATTTTAGCTGTAAAAATAAGGCTGATGGTAAAAATAGCAGGCACCCATGGAGTGCTTATTATGTGTCAGGAATGTGCAAAATTTACATCTGTTTCAATGAAACATCCTAACAGTGCTATATGGGAAAATGAAGTTGAACAACTGGTGAGGATTGACTCTGCCACAAAAGAGGAGGCAGAGCTTAGATCTGAGCCATGATCAGCCTGACTCCAGAGCTGGTGGCTTTACCTGTCACCCAATATCCACCTCCTAAGGCTGTTTGACAATTAAGCAAGGTAATGGATGTGATGTGTGTTGCACAGGCCTGACTCATAAAGAGCTTCATCAATATTAGGTTGAACCACATGACATTGCATATATTTGGTCATTTTCAACCTACAGAAATGACCATTTCATATGGTTCAACCTGGAAGAAGATGGTGATGACAAATTATTAATGAATAGGTCAGTCAGGCTGAACAAATATTTTGTGAAAACCAGTACGGAATGAAAAATTGGTGCAGGTTTCAAGTAAATATTGTTTTTTTCAAATGGGTCTCAGAAAGCAGGTTTCCTCCCACTGCTCTTGTTGTGACACTAGGTCGGTGCTATGTAATGACCTGGACATGAACGAGTTCCCTACGCACTTCCCCGTGGACACCGTGAGGCTCCGCATAGAGAAGACCGTCATTCGCAGCATCCCGGCCGAGGCCTTCTACTACCTGCTGGAGCTCCGGTACCTCTGGGTGACCTACAATTCGGTCACCAGCCTTGAGGCCAGCAGCTTTTACAACCTGAGGCAGCTGCATGAGTTGCGCTTGGATGGGAACTCCCTGGCTGCCTTCCCTTGGGCATCTCTGCTGGACATGCCCCATCTAAGGACCCTGGACTTGCACAATAACAGAATCACCAGTGTGCCAAGCGAGGCAGTCAGGTACCTGAAGAGCCTCGCCTACTTGGATTTATCAAGCAACAGACTGAGCACACTGCCGCCAGAATTCCTGGAGAGCTGGGCCCACGCACTTCCACCATCGTCCAGAAGCCCGAACCTTCCTCTGAGGAGGATTATCCTTGGTAAGCTCACAAGCCTCTGCACTCTCAGGTCCACATGATTTGCTCAGCATACCTCCAGTGGCCCAGTCTTTTCATATTCATTGAATTTGGCTTCTTACCCTATACTTGCACTATGAATGGAATAGTACTTTATCAGTTGACCTAGGTCAATTTACCCATCTACCCTGTGTAAGGTATAATGGTAGTGTGTGTGTGTGTGTGTGTGTGTGTGTGTGTGTGACTAATGCTGCTATTATAGACCCTGAGCTGAGTGACAAAATCTACCAACCTACCCTGGTTCTTCTGAGCACACCTCTGCCATAGCCAACCTTCTGCTCCGGTCTCCTTTCAGCCCTTCATCAGGCTCTCCCAGAGGGTGAGAGGGGCATTGCCACCTGTATGAGGTGGCAGTGGTTTAATTAGTTAGGGAGGACAGCTGCCAAGTTTTCTTAATCTAAAAAGAAATGATGAAGACTCCAGTTTTTTGTTTTTTTTTTTACTGGCCCCAAATAGGACTCCTAATGGATTTGGTCTTAGCTTAGCTGTGATTAGTTTTCTGTATTTCGATCTTGACTTTGTTTAGGTTCTATGGGTATTGTCTTGGGTTCTTAAAATGTAAACTCCCTCCAGTAAAGTCGCTTTCTTCTTTTTCCGTGTCTTCCCACAGTGCTTTGCATGGTGCTCTGCACATGGTGAATGCCCAGGAAATGCGGCTGCCCAATGAAATCAGTGAGCTGAGACGGTTCTCAGGCGTATCTGTGGGCCGTGAGGCCTTTCATACTTACCTAGGAGATGCAAGCCTGTGACTTTGCTCAGTCAGTTTGATTTCCTAACATTTTTGTTCACCCAGTAAGGCTGTGTTGTGAATTCGTAAGCTATGCCCATCAGGGCTGCAGAAGAGCTTGTACTTCTAAGAAGAATGAAAGAACTAATGAGTGTTTGGCTGGTGAAATGACATAAGCCTTTTGCTGTGAGAAGCAACTAGATGCTAAATTTGTGCCAGGAATCCCTAATGACCATATCAAATATTTGCTGAAGTCAAGTACAAAAAAAAGATAAATCTGAGATTTTTTTTGATAAACAAAGAAAATGTTCTGGCAGCATTTAAATGGTTTCAGCACTGCTTTTGTTGAAAGGTGAAAGCTTTTTGGTGTTTATGAAACTAAAAGCATGAGTAATAAGAACACGATACAAAAAGGCAAAATCACAAGCTTTTCTTATATCGCTATTTCACGTTTGCCCACTGCTTACTTATCTTGTCCTTGAAACATTTTTATTAGAGAATAAAAGAAGTATCATTGGATGGTTTAGAAAAAAAGGCATGAATTTAGTTTAAAAATAGTTGTGGAGTCCTTATTATGTACACTGTGAGGCACCATGTACGCCTATACTGTGGTATTTATTTATTTTAGCCACTAATTTGTACTCCTTGTGAGTAAGTCTAACAGCTAGAAATTGTCTGAATTTAAACATTGAGATTCTATTTCTCTACATTTTTTCTATGTTGCTTTGGAAGCAATTCTTGGTTCTAATAGAATTAGCCAGTGGAGATATACAGTAGAAAATAAAATCAAATTAACAAGTTGCTATCAATAGCTCTTGAATGATTAGTTACTAATATTACCTCTTGAAGAAGTCATTTATAGGACATCAATATTTTTCACTTGTGAGTTAAATTTGCTTGACAACTTAGAGATCAAATGGCAAAGGGTTATGAAATTTTATTGTCCATGGAGATAAACAGCTTTATCTATGTTTTAGGGTTCAGATTCTTTAAAAGCAGGTTCTTTAAAGGCAGTACCATGAAAATACTTTTGGTATAACATTAAATTTCAGAGGCAGGATATGTAATCGTACATATAGCATAATCATAACTATTTTAGAATGGGCAAAGAAAAAGACTGAAAAAATACACTAGCTGTATTTTATAATACCTTCCTCTTTGGGAGGTGGGACATCTTTTCACTTTTTTATATTTTTAAAGTGTTCTGTAATGATCATGCATTACTTTAAAAATAATGATAGAATCATGATAATGAATAATAGAAGATATCCTGAAACATGTTCAGCCATGGTGGCAGCTGGCCTAACAAAGCCATGAGTGAGTCACACACAGAAAACTCAGTTTCCTCATCTGGAGAATGGAGATGGGAGGACTGGCCCATCTTGCTCACAGGACTGTAATGAAAACGTGAGATCTTTCATGTTATAATTCTTCAGAAGATGAGGGGGACCGCCTCTGAGGTTATGATTTTAGATCAACAATAACCCACAGCAGCTGGGACCAAGATGGGAGTGTCTTATACAGAAAGACTTCCTTACTTTGGCTTGTCATTTTAATTATATTTGAGTCTTCAAATTTCATCATTAAACTTTGGTGATGAGAACCAGTTCTAGGTTTTTAGAACTCAGTGTTTAACTGTAGCAATTCTATCTTTCCTGGAGTCTCAGAGAATTCACTCATATGCCATTCCAGTGGGATGCGTTCTGCTTTTATCTCATTTTTACCGTCCTGTGTTTATTATTGTCAGCAGATAGAGGTTCTAATTGTAATAATAACAGTAATGGTTAATATTGATGGAGTGCTTGCTCAGGGCCAAGCCTAGTTCTTACACTTTACGGGTATGTCTTCTTCCCATCTCGTATTAACCCCGTTGTAAGTACCAGTTCATTTTCATTTCACAGATGAGGAAATGAGGCATGAAGTAAGCCACTTGCCCACATTCACTCACCACATAGTGCTGGAGCTGAGACACTAGTACAGGTTGTTAGGCAGCAGGACCCATGCTCTCCCTCTCTCCTTTGTAATTTGACGTACGTATGTAATAATACCAGACTCCCTTTCCTCCCACACACATTACTTTACCGAGTCTTTATATCGTGTATTTATATAATGAAAATCTGGGGAGGAGCTTTTCCATTACTCCCTCCCTCTTCTATATGAGTAAAAATTCCAACTTCATAAAATCGTCCTTTAGTGTATCCATAAAACATAAACTAGTGTCCTGCAGGTAAACATTTAAATTAACTGTGAAACTAGATTCGATATTTGATTTGCAATACAGGTAAATTTCCATGGCCTCCTTCTCAAGAATAAGCAGACATTTATACAGGCAGACTCCATAAGGCCTGGCGCTGTGTATCTTGGAGGGAAAGGCCCTCAGTAGAAGTTATAAAATGCCTTTTGGGTGCTTTTTCCTGGTACCCAAGTCGCTCCATTGTAAGCATGGGCTCTTCTCCGGTTCAGAATGAAGTTCACCTGAAGGGCCGCGGCCCAAGTACTTCCACAGAATTTTTGAAATGGCATTAATTTAATTCAACTCCCCAGTCCTGTGGGCATGCCTGTCCTTTGCTAGAAAGTTGGCTTACTCCTTGCCAAGCGCCCTTCTGAGGACTCCCGGGGTCCCTCAGCCTCTGGAAAACTCCATGAGGTGGGTCTGAAATCATCACCATCCCTTTTCATGCTGATAAAGAGGCAGTCAAGCTTCTAATTCACAGTCCATCTCCGGAGGTATCATTCGTTTATTCTTTACTTTTTTCTTTATTTATACTTTTAATTGGGGTGACATTGGTTAATAAAACTACATGTCCCAGGTGTACAATTCTATAATCCATCATCTGTATATTGCATTGTGGGTTCACTACCCCAAGTCAAGTCTCCTTCCATCACCATTTATCCCCCCTTTACCCTCTTCTGCCTCCCCCACCCCCCTTTCCTCTGGTCATCACCATACTCTTGTCTGTGTCTATGAGGATTTTTTCTCTTTGCTTAATCTTTTCATCTTTTCTCACCCAGCCCTGCAACGCCCCTTCCCCCTGACAGCTGTCAGTCTGCTCTCTTTATCTATGAGTCTGTTTCTATTTTGCTTTTTAGTTAATTTTGTTTATTAGATTCCACATATGAGTGAAATCATATGGTACTTGTCTTTCTCTGACTGGCTTATTTCACTTAGCATATGAAAGGCCCATCCGTACAGTTGCAAAGGGTAAGATTTCCTTCTTTTTTTACTGCTGAGTAGCACACTTTTTTTAAATTGAAGAACTGAGGTATAATTTGCATACAGTGGATCTTAAGTGTATAATTTGGTAAATGATGATACGTGTGCACTCCCACAAATCCTCCTACCTCATCAAGATACAGGATAATTTCAT